TCCGCATTTCAAACGGATCTTAAGAGTTGATCACGCAAGCTGATTTTTAAAAAGGTGCACCCCTATTACAAACTTAGGTCGATATATACTGTATACCATAGCGTATGTAGCCTGCAGACTGGAAATGGGTGTAACAGAGTGAAAAAATAAGGTGAATTTTTTTTATTTATTTATTTATTTATTTATTTATTTATTTATTTATTTATTTATTTATTTATTTATTTATTTGATATCCCGCCTATCTAGTCACTTAAGACCACTCTAGGCGGCTATGATCAAATCCTGTGTGCAAGTCACAATGTACAGAATATGCTCCACTAGCCAAAGGCTCTTGTGTAAACATATCATTGTATTTTGCTTTCTTTCCTTCTTTTCCCACCTTCCCATCCTAAAAAATATCAATGAGCATAACACTCATTGATAATTTTTGTCACTTTTTGTTTTTTTCTGTTTCCCAATCCAATTCCTGCCTTTCTCTGTCTTCCCTCCCACCATAATCTGACTGCAGCTGAAATCAAGAGTTTATTCATAAATTATAATTTGGACCTCCATGTATATCTTTCACAACGGGCTGTAATTGTTGGGACCTTGGGGTTCTACTGAAAACCAAAAATAAATCTTGCAAGCCTGGAACAGGAGGGATCGTTAAGGTCAAACTACACATTACAGCCAGCACGTCATTAGGAGAGGATATTCCTTAAGTGCGGAATACATCTGATGATCATAGTAAGAGCATTTCACACCACCTGCAATTTTGTAAATTAGCTTGCTTTGTTTCACAGTCGGCTTTCTGGGTATCAACATGAGCTCTCGGACACAAAGATCTGCTGAAATGATGTTTGCGAAAGACATCAGCTAGAGACTGATGTGTTTTCTACTCAATTTTTTTGGTTCTTTATTAGTCCTTGGATACACCTCACCTCTACGGTGATGAAGATTTCTTCTAGGTGGCTTGAAAAACTTTCCAGGTGAACGATCTGTTTCTCAAGCGTACTTATGTTCTTCTGAAGTTCTTCCTGTCAAAATGCAACAGGTTTAGCATGCTAGCCTCCTGTTTGATGCCCAAATCTCCCACTCCTCCCAGGCTGGGTTGCTTTCCATGGTTCTTACCCTTGCGATTTCAACCACACTGGCAAGGGGTATGACCTCGTGCTCTTCGTGCTCAGGAGACTGCTTGTCGAGGGCTCTGATTGGAACACAGCATGTAATACAATATGTATTGGCATCTTTGAAAGGCTGCTTGTCTTCTCTGCCATCGCTCGTGTTTCCTTTTCCAGCATCACCGTCCTTTTCATGACTTGTTTCCATGCGAGGGACCACTGGCTCCTCTGTGCTTTGGGCCTTCCTTTTCTCATGCACAGCCAGATCGCGTCTTCGGAAGGGCTCTGAAAACATCTCCAGGTCTTCGCTTGAGTCGTACAGTTCTAGGTGGTAGAGTCTGGGGCTTCCTTGCTCACTGCCTTCGGTTGGTGGATCCATCATTGATGACCGGAGGCTGATCTAGAGTGTGATGGAAAGGTCTTGGATTTAAAGAAGCAGGGGCATGAAGGGCCACAGGGTCTTCGGGTTTGGTGCGGAAAGAACTGTCAAGAAAGACAGAAAAAGAATACAGAGGCTTTAATCAGCCGAAAGGTTGCCGTGCTGATTTGATAGTGCGAAAGCATCTAAAAAACAAAACCATGATCCAGTCAATTTGTTAGACTCTGATGTCAGCAACGGTTGGGAGTATAAAGGCAAAAATGGGCAGGAAACACAAATCCTAAGCATTGTGAAGCAAGTGACTAACAAGGCCTGTTTCGGCTCCCTCTTCACTTGCCATGTCCTCCGGCCCCAATCCATAGTGCCTACCAGAGATGGGAGGACAAGCTGTGAAAAATGGCCACTCCTTTGCCTCTCTCCTGCCAGTGTTTCTTCAAAGAGAGTAGCAAAACAAACAAAGAAACAACAACAACAACAAGACAGCAGTGGCAATAAGGAGAAGAAACAGGTCAAGGAAGCAGCAGGCCTGGCACAGGGGTCAGGCAGGTCATCTAGGGGTCCGGAGGCATGCCTGGTTAGGCTGAGCCTTGACGTTGGCCCTGGACAGATTGGGGTGGCCCCCGCCCTCAATCCCCCAGCTTTCCTTCCTCCCTTGAAAAGATGGTCACAGTTGGATTTTTGCGTGGGTGTCCAGATGCCATCCTCTTCTTCCGTTTCCTGCCTCCCTTGAAAAGATGGTCACAGTTGGGATTTTTGCGTGGGTGTCCAGATGTCATACCCTCTTCTTCTGTAACCTCTCTTGGTTTACTACCACTTCTTTTAACTTTTTTCTTTTAACCCCCCCTCCAACCAAACCAACCAATCAGCTAAGCAGGAATGCCTTGCTTAATGACTTTGGATGAGTAGCCTTAGGGGGTTTCCATCTGAGGTGCCCCCAGAGGGGACATCTAATTAACATCAATTGCTGATTTGTCCAAATTTGGCTGTTCATCCCAATCAGAGTAGATTACTTGAATCAATGTAATTTAACTAAGTACTGTATAGACGTACCAGGTTTCAATTTTATTCAGTGGGTCTAGTTTGGTTAACCTATAGGACTTGAGGCCCAAGAAGTCTTAAGAAATCTGAAATCAATTAGACAATAAAAGCCATACATTCCATTTTACAAACTGTAAATCTGTCAGTCTATTGAACGTGCAAGCAGTTTTCAAAGTAGTTGTTAAAAGAGTCTGCAGAAGGTATGCTAACCTTTATTTTGAATCTGAAGCTCAGTTGAAGTCCTTGGGCTCAAGATTTATCAGACAATGTATGTCTTCTGCAAAGCTTTTTTAAAATAAAAGTTACATGGCGCATGCCCAGCTTCAAAAATGTACGCAGCTCACTGAAGTCACTGAGTGTCAGCAATTTACAACCATCTAAAAAACAAAATGTTACTTATTAAGACTTGCCTTCCACATTAAGGATCCATAATGTCTTCCCAGGGATAAGACTGTAACTTTCTCAACTCTTTTCCCCCTAACAAACCTCGACTTTCATAGCCCTTCCCTGCAGGTTTTCTCTCCTTTGAAACTGAAGACACTGCTGTCATTCTAGACAGATGCTTTTTTTCCGAGACCAGGATACCAGCAATGAGCACGAAGGACAAATATAGAATGGCATCCGCTGTCCTTCTAGCGAAAGCTTCTCGTGTATCCTAGGACATAATGTCAGATCTGAAAAAACTGCTGAGAAAACAGGGTTTGAGACTCTGAAGATCCCATGAGACCACTTCACAACTTCCTGCCCAAGAAAGAAATAAGAGAGAGAGAGCTTGAGAAAAGCTCAAAATCTTACGGAAGGATTAATGAGCCATGCTAATTAGCCTTTGAGAATAATCTTGCATTTTAGGATTGCAGGGCTGGAAGGAACCCTGTGTTATCTTCTGAGACCGGTCCCAACAGGGAGAATGACAATCTTATTTACTTATTATGCTCTTATCTTTGGTCTCCTGAGCTTCAACTATACATCTAGCTTTCTTCTGCCATTTTATCTTGAGGTAGCTGTAGGATTTTAAGAAGCCCAAGTGGGTTCAGTTACTCTGAAGACCAGAACCTGAATCTCCCTGGAATCTCCTAGTCACTAAATCATACTGGCTCTTCATACATATCCCAGTATTTTCTGGAAAGAAGGCACTATTAAATATTGGAGGACAATTTTATGGATCAGATTAGTGGTTATAAGTTAGTGACAGGCCCAGCAGCCGTGCTGACGAATTATTTAAAAAGGCCTTTGGAAATCACGGGCAGGAAAACAGTTGCCGGTCTGCTCAAAGCCACAAGGGCATCTATTGCCCTCCTGGCAAAACATCATTTATTGGAGAGAGTTATTCATCCTTCCAATGAATTCCTGATTCTTCAGCCATGTCTGTGAATGAGAAGATTTCCATGGAAGTCTTCCTCTTTTTTAAAACAACTTCCCCATAAGCAATGGATCTAAAAGAACACCTGTATTCTCCTGGAAGGGGAGAACGGATCTAAAAAAAGCTTCCTGAATCCTGTAAAAACTGTCTGAATGACTTCATTTGAATAGATAGTTTCATTACGATGTGCTTTTAGACAGCTCAAACATGGAACCATTTTCACCAATGCCATCCTCTCCAGATCATGGCACAACAGGAGCCCAATAAACCCATCCGTAAATTGTTCTGACATGAGTTTAAAATAATAATCAGTTGCCATCAAGACAATTCTGATTTATGGGGACCCTTTTTAAGGTTTCCTAGGTAGAGTTACTCAGAGGTGCATCACCATTCCCTGCCTCTAGGGGTGCCCTGGGACTGTGCAGCTGGCCCAAGGCCACCCAGGCTGGCTTTTCTCTCAAGAACAACAGTGGAGGAATTGAACTCCCAGCCTCTGCCTAAACCACTGAGCTATACAACCAGCCAGACATGAATTTAGATGGGCTGTTTAAAAAAGGTTTTCTGTTTGTTGTCCTGTTCGTTTTTTATCATAGTAACTTTATTTGGTACATTGTTTCTTAAATTTATAAACCACTTTTGCAAGTTATATAAACTTTTGGAAATGGTACACACGAAGAACAAAGGGAAAACTTACATGTCCATAACAATTCTCTCCAAAAGAAAACGGCTAGAATACAGCTGCCAGTTCGTGCTTGTGTGAGCGGGGCAAATCGGTGCCACAGTTTTGCACCATTTCAATTCACACAAGTGCAAATCACCGTCTGGATGCTAGCCAAGGGAATCCCTGCCTGCAAGGGTACAACTGAAAAAAAAGCAGGAAATGCACAGGAGGAAAACGTTGT